GTTTCCATATGACACATAGTTGAAAGATTTAAGCTGTAGTCATTTTAAAATGGGGCAAAAAGGAGAGCTTTTGTGTACTCTCTAGGACAGTTAACGTATTCACATTTCATTGACTTAAAGGAATTGTAGTCTCATGTTGATATGCTGTCCCCATTGAGAAAAAAATTGCATCTAAGGACAGAAACTGAGCATGTGCATATATGTAAAATTATTTACATATCTCTCATGTATCCATAGGTATTATGGTCGAAAGATGCTTTTCCTCATGATGTGTCATCCTAACTTTGAAAAAATGCTTGAAAAGTATATCCCATCTAAAGATTTGCCATACATTAAAGAATCTGTTAAAAATTTACGACAAAAGGTATGTAAATTAAGTTCATTTTGTAAATAATTTTAATAGCAAAGTTATAAGCTAGGTACTCTTAGCACTTGAGAGGTAGATGTGGGAGAATCAGAGAAATTCAAGATCATCTCCTACATATTGAATTCTGCTCTAACCTTGGCTACATGGGACCCAATCTCAAAAACTCAAACCAAAAATAAATAAAGTAAATCCACCTGACCTGGTGGAACATGTCTTTAATCCCAACACTTGGGAGACAGAGGCAAGTGGATCTCTGTGAGTTCAAGGCCAGCCTGGTCTACATAGCTAGTTCCAGGCCAGCTGGGGCTACAGGGAGACCTTGTCTCTAAAAGACCAAAAATAAATAAATTAATTAATTAAAAAAAAATGCAACCTTTATTTTTCCCATGAAGGTAAAGAATAGAAATAATTGCTTCTTGGTTCATTTCTTTGCTAATCATTTGAAAATAGCTCTAATGTAGTTTTAAATAGATGTCTGTACTATCAGGCATAAAGAGTAAATGTTTATTGCTTATTAAAGCTCAAAGTATACTAGAATGTTGCTTAGCCTGTGAGAGGTGTACAGCTGGCTCACAGTTCTGACAGTTTACAACTAGGTAATACTGGGCACATCACTTCATTTCTATAACTAGAATTTTTATTTTTATAAAATGAGGATAGGAATAAAACGTGAAAGCTAACTCATTTATATATATTTTTTGGAAATGTATTCAATATAGTATAGAATTTTTATGTTCTAATTTCATGTCATTTGTTTTCTGTTTTTATTGTCTTGATTTGGATTTTGTTTGTTTGAGACAGGCTCTCCCTGTAGTACCAGCTGGTCTGGAACACACTATGTAAAACCATGCTGACCTTGATCTCACAGAGATCCACCTGCCTCTACCTCCAGAGTGGTGGGATTAAAGGCATGCACTACTGTGCTGAGCTTATTTTAATTTTTTAAATATTTGTGTGTGTGTGTGTGTGTGTGTGTGTGTGTGTGTGTGTGTACATGTGTTCCATAATGTATATGTGGAGGTTATGGGACAACTTTTGGAAATCAGTTTTCTTCTCCCACCCTGCAGGTCCTGGGGATCAAACTCAGTTGTGAGGCTTGGCATCAAGTACCTTCACCCAATGAGACTAAAGTAGTTCTTAGCAAATATTTATTCTCACATTATTTTTTAAAAATTTATTTTTATTTTATGTGTATGTTTTGCTTGCATGTATATAAGTGCACCCGTGTTGTACAGTGCCTGCAAAGGCCAGAAGAGAGCATTGGGTCCTCTGGGACCTTAGGTGGTACATATAGTTGTTAGCCACCATGTGGGTGCTGGTAACTGAGCCCAGGTCCTCTGTAAGAGTAGCCAGTGCCCTTAACTGCTGAGCCATCTCTTCAGCCCCTATTTCTTACACTCTTGATGTCACATACAAATCCATTGTTTATGGATTATGTTAAGCCTTAAGAGGAATATTTATGGGTTGAAGAGATGGCTCAATGGTTAAAACATGCACTGCCCTTGTAGAGGACTCAAGTTCAGTTCCTATCACCCACAGTTAGTGGCTCACAACTGCCTCAAACTCCAGCTCCAGGGAATCTAATGCCCTTTTCTGGCCTCTGTGGACATCTGTATTTACATGCATAGACACAAACATATATATATACATAATTAAAAATAAAAATAAATTTTTTTTTTTTTTTGGTCTTTTTTAGACAGGGTCTCCCTGTAGCCCCAGCTGTCCTGGAAATCACTATGTGGACCAGGCTGGCCTTGAACTCACAGAGATCTGCCTGCCACTGCCTCCCAAGTGCTGGGATTAAAGGCGTGCGCCACCATGCCCAGCAATAAAAATAAAATCTTAACAAAAAAATGGTTATGAGGATGGAAATTTAGCTCAGTAGTAGAGCACTTGCCAAGTATGGGCACAGCCTAGGTTTCAGTCGTTAATATAGGAGGCGGTAATTATATAGCATGTTAATATATCTCTATTTTATAGTGCTGGGATCAAAATCTGTTTATTTCTCACTGCTTGCAAGGTATTTTATGTATCCAGTACCCTTTAAAGCCTACCATAATATTATATCCTTAACATTTATTATTACTAGTGTGTATATGCATGTAGGTGTGAGCATGCCTTGTGGAGGTCAGAAGACAACTTTGTGAAATGATTCTGTCCATTCATCTTTTATGTAGATTTCAGGAATCAAACTCAGGTCATCAGGGCTGCATGACAAGTGCTTTTATGCACTGAACCATCTTACCACACCCCATAAAATACCATGTTTTATCCAGGCTGCTCTAAAAAGTACATTGTGTAAGTTATTTTGCCATTAGTTTAAAGACTTTTCTCACACTGACTTTGTGTCTATTTACAGGGTTTGGGAGAGATGCCCTTAGATACTCCTTCAGCAAAAGGAAGGCGCTCTCACACTGGCAGTGTTGGAAATACAAGATCATCTTCTGTTTCTCGAGATGCTTTTAGTTCAGCTGAAAGGTACTATTGTTTGATGGTCCACACTGTTAGGAAGTTTAGCAGCTCAGTCAGAAAAGGTATTATATAAGATATAAAGCATAACCAATCCTGCACTACAGGGGCAGCATCTGTGATCCAACATTCTAGCCTTTTTGCTGATGGAATGGGTTAGAGGGAGGTTGAATCTAAGGGATTTATGGGTGTTGACTTTAGCTCTCCTTCTTTCTGAAATTAGGGCCCTGGAGAGGCAAGGTCAAGCCCTGCCTCCTCTTTATCTCATGCTGGTTAGTCAGTTGATGGTTCTTGAGTCAGGGGCTGGTATGTATTCATGCACCAAGAGGATGTTATCTATCCATGTGTTATGCTGAATGGTGGTGTGAATGAATCAAGGTAGTGGGCTAGAAGGAGGCCTCTCAAGAACCAGGTTTTCAACACTGTATGTTGTAATAGAGATTCATTCTTTCCAGGTTTGAAAGAGAGCTGTGCTGAGATGGATTACATTAAAATATCCTTTAGTAATTCTGGCTACTAGCAGCAGAAGGAGCTGGGATAGGAGAGCCAACAACAACCCCTCCCCCCATTTTTTAATTCAAAAATTTTTTTAGTATATGTGGGTGTGTATGTGGTATATATGTCTGTACCTGTGTGTGCAGATGTGCTCACCCATTCATGCACATGCGGAGGGCAGAAATTGGTATCCAGTGTCTTCCTCTGTTGCTCTTCACCTTATTTTCAGACAGGTCTCTGACTGAACCTGGAGTTCACTATTTTGCCTAGACAGGCAGGCCAGCAAGCTCTTGGAATCTGCCTGTTTCTATCTCCCCTTCCCTTCACTGAGGTTATAGATATGTACAGCTGTACCTGGCTTTCTGTGTGGGTGCTGGGGATCTGAACTCAGGTCTTCATGTTTACTGAGCAAGCACCTTACCCACTGAGTCATCTTAGGCCTCATTCTTTTGAGGTGTTCTTTTGAGGTGTTCTTTTTATTTACTTCCTTTTGATGTGTCATAGGGTCCTCAAATGCACATTTACTTCTCTTATTTTTCTTATTGCATAGAATTTATTTAACAAATTAATCTCAAATTGCTTAAATGAAAGCTAATGATAAATCTAGGATTTATATTTTAATATCACTGTCCTCTCTCTACCATTGATTCATTTATTAATAACTGATTATAACACAGTCTTAGTTCTAATGTTAATAATTAAAACCATTGCTTTGTCTTTAAGAGCTAACAATTTGCATGACTCTAGTTTTAATGAGATCAACATATGGCATATTGAGTTACCCCTTTACTAGCCATGAAAAACCTTATGATACTAAGCCATTGCCTTAGTAAGACCTGTGAGTCTCAAGTTTCTCATTTGCCATTTATGTTCACATTGATTGTTGGCAGAAAAACAACATGCTCAGCAGGCCTAAGACTGCTATTCCCAGAAAGGCCTTCTTAGAAAGATGACTGTTGGTTGACATCTGGTTACCATATTAGATTTTGGAAAGAATCCAACTATTCCTTGCTAAGAATCATTTGTATAATCTTCTATGAGATTGGCAAAGAAGTTCAAGTCAAGATCTCAAGGGGTTCAGAACCCATTCAGAAAAAAGTTCTTACAAAGACCTACCTGCATGGTTAATCCTTAGCTAGCATTAGAAAACAGAATTTTAAGGGATTATACTATTATCTGATTGGTACGATTGCTTATTGTGCATGGATTGTTATATAAAATGACTTCTATTGAAGACCTACTTTCCTTCTAAGAGTCTGGGATTTCATCACATTCTAGGCAGACAGTGCATATGTGACAGGTTCTCAATGAAAATTCTGCAGCCTTTATTTTTAATAAGCTTCTTTGTTAGATAGCATTCCACATTATGTTGAAATATTCATTGCTGAAGGAATGAAATATTTTCTGTAGGAATAATTTTTGTAATATGGACACAATCTGGCTTAAATACTTTTACTTAACCTTGCAACCAAAAAGGTTACTAGTTATAATCTGAACAAGCTTACTGAGCCTTGTTCTGTTCTTGTGACCTGGACAGATGACCTTAATCCCTCAGGACCCCACTTTGAACTCCACCCAAGATAGTGAATAGATGTGGGTGTGCTTGATTAGCATATCAGAGTATTGCAAGCAGTGTGTCTTTTTCCTAGAAAGCAGTGAGAAAAATGGAGATGTCTGCTTGATAATCTATGTATGAGACAGTCTTTAGGGATCAAAGGATAAGATTCTGTAACAAGGGTGGATCCTAGCCACTACTTCCCCAATTTGTCATGGTACAGTGACCACAGTTCAAGCCTGGTGGGCTTGGGGACCCCGACGGATATAAATTAAGACACCGGAGATGCAGAGGTTTAGATGCCAGTGCATGTTTATTATGAATCAAACGAAGCTTATATAGGAATTCAGATCTGGAGTAACCAAGGAATAACTAAGGATACATTACTAACAGAAAGTAACCAGGGAATTACCCGGGATACAATATGTTACTACATTACCTCACTAGCTGAAACTCACATGAAGTTTACAGTATCCTAGATTTAGCTGCATAATGTTTATAGTATCTTAGATATAATGTGTACTGCTTATGATTACTCTTAGCAACTACTATAATTCATGATTTCTATATAGAAACCAAGCTAAGACTGCTGAGAGACTTCGGTGCCCATAAACTGAAACAGAACTCTTTGGTTGTTTCCAAGACTGCCAATTAATCAGGGAAGCATAGCCTGTCAACTCAGACCACAGAAGCAGAGAACAGGGAAGCTAGTAAAGTGGTAGCATTCTTTCTTCAATGCTTAAGTCAAGGCAAGCTGCCACAATCTAATGCAGCAATGGCTGTGCTTATAGTAAAGCTCCCAGCACCAATTGATGTTGGAAAGATTGTGTCAAAAAAAGTGTGAGTAACACCTAGCTGAAGAGCACAGTTCAGAGACACTGAAGGAATGGGTGGTTCTCAGAATTCGGGTCTACTCTTGGTCTTAAAACTAAATGCTAAGACTCAGGCTGCTTCTCTGTTCAGATATGACTGTAATGTGGCTTAGAAACACTACAGTGTTGTGTACAACCCAGCTGGGAAAGGCCAATAGCTTGCACTGGACACATGTACCTGTCACCCTGCTGATTTCATTTGATATATCTGCTGTATTAAATCTTAGCCCTGACTAAAGCTGTGCTGACTCCTGTGAGTCCTCCCAGAAAATCACCAGTTATCCTGGTGTTCCCCAATGCAGGTAGTATGGCTGTGGGCTACATCCTTTTATAAATTTCCAAAAATGAATTTATAATAAGAATTTTATTATATTTTGTGGGATAGTAAAAATGAAATATATCTTTTATTTAGAGAAGTAACTGAAGTTCGTGAAGCCCCCAGAAAATCATCTCCTCGTAATTCCTTAGAAAGTGCTGAGTACATTAAAGTTATAACAGGTTTATTAAATGCAAAAGACTTTCGCGATCGTATTAATGGGATTAAACAGCTTTTATCAGATACTGAAAACAAGCAAGAGCTTGTTGTTGGCAACATTGTGAAGGTAAGGACCTACAAAAACTAATGGTTTTAAGCATTTATTTTGTGTGTGTGTGTGCGCGCACGCCACTGTGCATGTGTAGAGGACAGGAGACAACTTTCAGGAGTTGATTCTCTTCTTCCACTAAATGTGACCTGAGGATTGAACTCAGGTCACTGGACTTGATTGATGGCAAGTGCTTTTACTTACTGAGTCATCTTAGCCCCTCAAAATTAATTTTCATTTATAATCTGTGGTCAGGAAAAGAAACTGATTAGTGAAGCAAATTACTTACAACCAAAGAATTTTTATTATATTATTTTAAAGTGTTGAAATAAGTTTAGTGACAAGAATGGATCACCTAGATTTTGCTATGTTTAAAGCATTTTGTAATGACTCAAAAATATTTTTTAAAAAGGAGGGGGGCAGGAGAGAGAGTTCAGTGGTTAAGAGAGCTGGCTGTTCTTGCAGAGGACCTGGATTTAGTTCCCAGCACCCACATGGCAGCTAACAATGGTCTGTAATGCCCTTTTCAAGGGAATCCATTGCCCTCTTCTGACTCCACAGACATTGCACACTGGTGCACTTACATACATGCAGAGAACACACAAAATAAAAATAATAAATAAAATTAAATAATAATAATTTTTTTTAAATAACAAGAAAATAGTCATGTGTTTGTCTGAATTAGCTCACAAGTTAGTAAGCTTGGT